GGGGGGGGGGGTCATGGTGTTGCCCCCGATGAAAAGCCAGGAGCGGCCCGGCTTGACCTGAACGCTCAGGATGCCTGGAACCAAGTCTCTCACTGGCACTGACACAAGCAACGGGACCAAAGGCCTGGACCAGACAAGAGCCGTGTTTCGTGTGGCCTCTGAGGGTCCTGGAAATGTCATCGGAGAGCTTCCCAGACCCTCGGGGGCAGGACAGCAAAGGGAAAGAGCTGCTTCTAAAAGTGGAATTTGCACAGCCAGGCATAACACCTGCCACGAAATGCTGGCAGAATTAGAAACTGAATTTAATTCCACAAGTGGTGCCATTTCAGTGGAAACAAAATCTCCTCGCACAGATAAAAACACTTGCATGCGTTTGGCACTGTCGGCTGGCACAGTGTTCACACAGTTTGCTGTTCTGTGGTCAGTTTTCAGAAAGGGAAATGGAAGTATGTCTCTTTAAATTATTTTGGAAATAAGCTGGGAGTTAAATAAAAAGATAAATTTCAAAATGCTAATCCAGACAAAAGGTGACTGTTACCAGGATGATGTTTACATAGGTGGAGAAATCGTGAATTAGGTAACACGTAAGGGACAGCTTGGGAGTCTCGTGGATCAGCCACTTTATTAGTTCTGTTCTTAATTCTGCCACGAAAGTCAGGCAGGCGCCAGGCATCTTTTGTGGGACTAGATGGCAATTGCAGGTGTTCTTTAACCTGCTAACTTCCAATTCATTTGCATTTTCTTGACCTCTAAGTGTATTTGGACGGCTGGTCCCAGGAAGAGAAAAGGGAAAAAAGCCAATTTTAATTTTAGAAACTAGGGAGCAGGTTTAATAAATCACCGGCCCTGCTATCAACATTTTTTCCAAGAAGATAGTAACTGCACCAGAATGAAAGCTATCATTTTTATAGCACCGCCCACACTTTCAGTGACCAGCCCTGGAACATGAGCTCACTATTTCCTCCAGATGGGATCACGGCCGGTTTTCCTGGGATGGACGGGGAGGGCCCTGGGAGACGCACCCCCCACGCCTCCTGTGCTGAGACGGCTGTTTTGTTTAATCTCTGATAAATGCTACTGCGTGATGTCCGCTATATTAGACTAAAGATTAATATTCCACGTTAACTACTTCTAACATATACCCTGTGCCTACTTTACAAAGATCATTTTGTGATGGGAATGGGCGGTTAGCGGTGCATAATTTAAACATTTTTCTGGGCTATTTTTTTCAAGTGGCTCTTCAATTAGGCACAACATTTGGGCTCGTGATTATCCAATTATCTGTGCACTAGAGCAGACCCAGAACTGCCCTGGAAGGGAATCTGGCCCTGCCCAGGGACGCTTCATTAGGTCACTCACGGAGCTGGCGTGTCGTCCGCCCGGGCGTGTGCCGGGCAGGCGTTTCATCCTACACGGCAATGCTTCATGCTAGCATATGGCTCCGTCCTAAGTGGGCGGCACAGACATCTGCCCAGCACATACTTATCTGGGATACAATATTGAATTAACTGCTAGTCAATAATTATTCGGAATGGCCATGGACAGAATTGTGTCTCCTCACAATTCATACGCTGGATTCTTTTTTAAAAATTACGATTTTACTGATTTTTAGAGAGAGAGGGAGAGATAGAAACATTGATCGGCCGCCTCCTGCACGCCCCCTCCTGGGGATCCAGCCCACAACCCAGGCGCGGGCCCTGACCGGGAATCGAACTGGTGCCCTCTTGGGGCACAGGGATGACACTCAGCCCACTGAGCCACGCCGGCTGGGCCAGAGGCTGGATTCTTAGTCCAGAGTCTGTCCCCTGACTCAGAAAGCCTGGCAGTCTGGACAGTGCTCCCCCGGGGGCATCTTTCACCACTTCCACCTGCCGTCCGCAGCCCGGGCAGGCGCACTTTCCTTGGAACCGGGTGGCACCCGCTGTGCTCAGCATCACGTCTGCTGCAGACGTTTGGTCCACTCGCCCTTCATCTCACTGCCTCAGTCAGCCGCTGGTCGTCTAGCTCGGGTCCCCCTTGCTCCGGGACGGCCTCTATCACCTGCCCCACGAGGCTCTAAGACCTGTCACTGCGCATCACCTTCCCTCTGCGCTCCCCCGTCAGCTCCGTTTCATTGGCTGTTAAATCTGCAGCCCCTGACAGTCCCTGATCCAGTGACTGAGGCGCCGCAGACGCTGCTCACACCTGCTCTTCGCGGCGCCCACGTGTGCTTATGACCTACGTCTCCACCCGCCACACTCTGATGCGCCGACGAGTCACGAAACACTGATCCAGTGGGGAACCGACCTTGGATTCAGGAGGGCGGTGGGTTGAGAAAAACGTTAATATTTTATTATTTGAAAAAACAAAAGATTTCTGTATTAAAAATAATAATGATGCATTTTGTGGATATGGAAAGGTGGCATCTATAAGAAGAGTTGTAGCTGACTCTGGGTTCGATGAAGCTCCGTCAGCTTATAGCCCTTGTCCCAGGGGGATGTCTGGACACGTTGAAAAATGTATAAGGAATATATGAAAAATTAAAATGATGTGTTTTTTAAGTAATAAAATGCACCTGTTTTGTTTGGAAACGTATCCCCATGTTTTCTTGATAAGATAAAATAATATTTTGCCAAATAAGAACTTGGG